ATGTGTCTGGCTTTAAAATTTCATTAAATGGTATATTTGTTGTTATTATAATCAAGGTTATTATCGGCTATGGATGTGATTGTGGAAATACTTTTAAAAAAAATATATATTCTTCATAATTAATCCTACGTCTGTAGTCAAAAAGACGAAGAGCTTCTTCAAATATATTTTTATAAGTGTTTCAAGTAAGTTTTTGATTGTTTTTTTTTTTGTTGTGAATATGAAGAACCTTGGATTTACCTTCCCCCAATTTTTGTTTATAATTTAAAAATTATTATTATTTTTATTTTTTTTATTTTTAATATTTTTTATAAATAAAAAAAATTGGGGGAGGGGAAATCCAAGAAGCTTGGACTTCCCCTGCCCCAATTTTTATTTATAATTTAAAACAAAACAAAGTTGAATTGAAGATATTGGTAAAATTCATACATGTCACTTTATGAAAAACTTATATTTTCACCTTATTGGATACTGAAAGTTGTGGTTTTATGATTGCTTTTCAATACCTTGGATTTTTGTGTTCATTGATTTAAATTGATGGGAACTGACATTGTTTCCTAAATATTACCTTGTTAAATTAAATGTTAATACATTTTTTATTTTTAAAATAACTTGTAAAGTTGTATGTTGGTACTATGGAATTGTTTTGGTTCTCTAATTATGACAAGTAGACTAACCAGGTCTAGTTAATACCTGATGGATCATGTTTAAAGTACCTAATTTTGTCTTCTATTTTACTGTTGTTGTTTTTTAAAAAGATTTTTCCTTGTTATTATCAAGAACTCTAAAATAATGAGTCAGGATTTAAAATGAATTTCCCTGGTGAATTTTGTAACCAAAGATGAATAGGTTGTTTTAAAAATATTTTATTAGTCTTTAAAGTCAATAACAATTTATTATTTTTTTTTGGCATTTATTTAAATTAAGGAGAGATTTTCACTGTTGTAGACTTATATTATATATACCAACATATTTTTTTTCCAATGTTATTCAAGAATCATCTGCCATTCACTTTCTGCTTTGTAAATCATTTAAGTTTTTTTTTCCAATGTTATTCAAGAATCATCTGCCATTCACTTTTTGCTTTGTAAATCATTTAAGATGATTTTACATTTTGTAAGCACTACATATTTTATTATGTTAATTGTTTGGTTAATTAAAAAAGAATTTAAAAAAAAAAAAAAACACAGCCATACAGCATTTGTACCTTAAAGCATTTAAAAAACAATGCAATTAATAAGTTTTCTCATAAATTCATAGTATGCTTTTATATAATTGCTTTTATAAATATTTTTTTTTTGAAATTACCATCAAGTAGGAAAAGATGTTTAAAAAAAAAGAGGTAAAAATACTTATTTAAACAAAAAAATACATGTTGTTTAAAAATAATAAAATACTGTAATGCAAATAGTTAATTATTACCAAACTAGTAACCTAAGTCCCAGGTTTTATATAGCTGAAATCACATATTGCACTTGAATAGTTGTGTTAGGTTTAGCAAATTAGTATTTGCCAAATGCTTATGTTCTTCTGAAAGAAATTAGAACTAAAAGTAAATAATCATAAAATGAAAAGCCAAATTATTGTATTTACCTTAAATATCAAGTGATTCAATATAAATTTCTTCTATAGATCTGCAGTTAATGTTCTCTTGCTTTTATACAACTTATTAAGAAAGTATGATTTAAAGAGAGCTGTCCTTCAAATTAAATAAAAACTAACTTTATAACAAAAATTTTCAATAAATGCATGTTACTACTGTTAGCTAATACAATACCTGAAATAAAAATTTTTTAACTGTCTTTAAAAAGACAATACTTTCAACATGTTGACCAAAGCATATCAAAAGGACATAATTTATGACCCACGTTAATTCTCCATTATCACATTTGTTATAGGGTAAATTTCTTTTGAAGAAACTGTTTAGACAGTGTTAATTATGTTTTATTTTTATGCATGACAGTCATTTTTTTTTTTTTTTTTTTAAAAATTAATCCCGAGAATTAACTTTGAAATTTAATTTTTTTTTGTTATTGTTCAAAATATTATTTTTTTTGAAGAAAATGTTTAGACAGTGTTAATTATGTTTTATTTTTATGCATGACAGTCATTTTTTTTTTTTTTTTGACAAATTAGACCAGAGAATTAACTTTGAAATATAATTTTTTTTGGTTATTGATCAAAGTATGCTTATACTCAGCCAAAGTGATATCAGTTTATTCATTGCAATAAATATAAAATTATAAATATTCAATGACATTTTATGAACAATATAATAAGGAACGGAATCTCCACTATCATTTAAAAGTCATGACAATTGAATAATATTTAAATCAATATTTTTTTAATGAAACAATGTAACCTTAACCTTATGCCTGGTTAAAATTTACAATCCACACAGTATTTCATTATAACGGCTTGATGGTTAAGACAGTTTTGTTAAATGTTATTTGCCTTTGATAAATTTAGGAAGCTTGCTTTTAGTTCCTGTACAATTGATATCAAATCAGTCCTTGGAGTTTTATGTATACATATTATTTTTTTCTTTAAGTGGGAGAAGTGCAATGACTGAGCTGAGTTCAAACATGCATGAGATTCAGGGTAATGCGACAACAGAAGAGCTGTGGATGAAATTCAAGACAACAATCACTGATGCAGTGATGAAATTCATACCACACAAGACCTCAAAACCTAAGACAAATCAACCATGGGTTACGGCTGAAATCCAAAGGCTCATACACAGGAGAGACCGCCAGTACAAACGTATGAAGAAGAATGGGTCGGTCGAACTAAAAGCCGAAGTACTGAGGCTCCGAAGAACCATCCAACGCTTACTGCGCAGATCCTACTGGAACTACCTGAACGGCATCTTCTCAGAGGAAGATACTACCGCCAAGAACAAGCGGTTCTGGAGCTATGTCAAGCATCAAAGGTCAACAAACATCGGAGTTTCCCCCCTGAGATGGGAAGGCAAGTTGACGTCTGAACCCAAAGAACAGGCGGACATACTCAATCAACAGTTCCAGTCGGTCTTTGGGAATGGTAGAGAGTACTCAGAAGTTGAGTTCCTGCTGAAGACCAAGATGATGAGCACAGCCTATCCCACCATGGAAGATATCAAGATCTCAGAGAAGGGTGTGCTGGAACTTCTTAAAACCATTAACCCCTTCAAGGCATGTGGTCCTGACAACATCAAGCCACGAGTGCTAAAAGAATTGGCCGAAGAAATCGCTCCTGCATTAACAATCCTTTTCCAATCGTCGCTATTCACAGGCAAAGTTCCAACTGACTGGAGAACAGCGTATGTCACTCCGATCTACAAAAAAGGAGAACATTACGACCCAGCCAATTACCGCCCTGTATCCCTCACTAGCGTAGTATGTAAACTATTGGAACACATAATCGTAAGCGCGGTCATGAATCACCTGGAGAGAAATAATATACTCAATGACTGTCAGCATGGCTTTCGAGTCAACAGATCATGCGAGACCCAACTCCTTGAATTTGCTGAAGAGTTGACGACCAACTTGGAGAACAGCAAGCAGACTGATGTGCTTGTGCTGGACTTTTCAAAAGCGTTTGACCGTGTCAACCATAGCTTGCTATTGCACAAACTGCATAGATATGGGATCCAAGGCACTACCAAAACATGGATCTCTAGCTTCCTCAGCGACCGATGCCAGGCAGTAGTGGTAGATGGCAAAACCTCCTCCTTTGTCAGTGTTAAGTCAGGGGTCCCCCAGGGCTCAGTGCTAGGCCCTTGTTTGTTCCTAGCATATATCAACGATCTGCCCGAGAAGCTGACCTCTCAAGCAAGACTGTTCGCAGACGACACGGCGGTATATAGGACAATGGTCAACAGCTCTGACCAGAGCCAGCTTCAACAAGACCTCAATCGGTTAGCTGAGTGGGAGATAAGCTGGGACATGGAATTTCATCCCGTCAAGTTCCAAACCCTGTCAGTCTCCAGAAGCAGGTTCCCTCTAAACCACTCTTACGAACTGCATGGCCATATTCTTGAGCCAGTTTCCTCCGTTAAGTACTTGGGTGTTACCATCCAAAGAGAGGTCCGCTGGGACGAGCACATTAACAGTGTGTGCAACCGGGCAAACAAGACCCTGGGGTTCCTAAGGCGCAATCTGAAGATCGGCAACTCAAGCGTGAAAGAAAAAGCCTATAAAGCCTTTGTCCGACCTATTTTAGAGTATGCTTCTACAGTCTGGGACCCATTTACCCAGAAAAGCATAGACAGGTTGGAGGCGGTCCAGCGACGGGCAGCACGCTTTGTCATGAACCGCTACAGAAGCACCTCGAGTGTTGGCAGCATGCTGGAAACACTGGGCTGGTCGACATTGGAAGAACGACGACGACTATCCAGGCTCACCATGTTGTACAAGATAACAAATGGACTGGTGCACTGCTCCGGAATCAAACAGAAACTCGTTAATCTTCCCCCCAGACTGCGACGAAGTCACGACAAACAGTTCCGGCTGGTAAAAACAAGAACGAAGTACAGAAGCTCCTCATTCCTGCCGAAGACAATAGGGGACTGGAACAAGCTTCCAAAAGCAACAGTTGAGGCGGCTACACTCGATACATTTGTGTCTATTGCCTCCTGTATTCCAACCCCCAGTTCATAACACCACTGCTGAGTCGCCCTTGCAACCAGTGAAGTATCCCATTGAAACCCATGGACAGTAACATCGCAAACCTCTCTGAAACATAGGAGCCAGAATGATCAATTCATTGATCGTGGGCCCTTAAAATAAAGAAGAAGAAGAAGAAGAGTTATAACTTAAATATCTCAACTCATCTGAAGACTAATATTATTTTCTTTGCAAATACAAATTTTCAAATTGACTGCCCTTTTTTTTTTTTTTTTTAACAAGTGATATTTGTAAAACATTATGTCTATTGTGTTATCACTTAGCAATATTTTAATGTCATTGCATTTCATGTATTTTATTCAAAGACTTAATTTCTGACATACCGGGTATTGTCTTTATGAAAACTAAATGGTTAAACAAAATTGATCTAATATTTTAACTGATCACTGATATCATTTTATAATTAATCAACAAAATGCTTTATGAATTTGTATTCAAGTGATTTTTGGAAGGGTTACTTCATGTTGTCATACTTAAGTCACCCTCTGTGAATCTCATTGTGCCATCTCTTATTCAAGTTAACCATATCAACATATCATTTGACTTAACAGGGTTAGTTACGTGTTAAGTTTTTTTTTCATTATATATACAAGGTAGGGGTATTCAAGTTCAAGGCATATAAAATATTTCTGTAATATTTTTGTAAGGCTAAAGATGCATTTATGATTTTTGGAATGAGATTATTTTGTTTAAATTTGACTTATGTTATTTGAGGGAAAACAGTTAATGTTTTTTTGCAAGAATTGAGTCAGTATTTTAATTACTATTTTTTGTTTTCATTTTTGAAGCTTCAATCATTTGTGGGAATTAAAATGTTAAAGGGTCTCTTTCATCAATGGGTGTGTAACTTTCAACCATTTTTGCAAGATCACCAGCGTTGGTTATTTTGAACGTAACAATATGGAGAATAATATATATGGGGGACTGTGTTCAAGCAGTTTGAATAAATAAATAGTGTAAGATATATTAAGGCCTGAAAAAAAGACAGGAAAGGAGGAATCACCCATCCATAATTTAAAATGATTGACTTATCAATGTTTTGTAAAAATAATCTGGTAGTTAGTTAAAGCTTATATCGCAATATGTAAATTGCTACTTAATGCATGTCTATTTACAGATCTTTAAAAATTCAAATATTTTAATTTTTCTTGCAAGAGGTAGCGACTGCTTTCCATTGTAACATAGAAAGAAAATATTGTTTACGTAGTATGAGACAAGACGAGACAAGACGACTAAGGTTAAAGTATTTTTGTTATCAATAAATATTGATCATTTGTTTTGTAGATCAATAGGATTCATACAAATATGGTTTTTAAACTCAAAGTTAGGGATATTTAAATTTTATCAAGAATAAAGCCAAAGTACCATTTAACTTATTAAACCACAAATATATCCTATCAAATTTGGTTAGCTTCTATAATTTTAACCTTGATTTTTTTTTAAAAAGTTACCAAGTGTTAATTAATAAATGAATTATATTTGAAATTACATTACTAAATATTGTATAACCTTTGATCAATATTAGTCTTTTTTTATATTTTAATTGAAATAAATGCAACGAATAGGTTGTATTTTTAGATACCCCTGGCATATTTTGCTTGACACTAGACCATTGTTTTTTGATATTGGGTTTGGTGCCGAATGTGTGTTAATCATTTTATATTTCTTAAAATTTCAAAAATAATCAAATTATCCAATATGAATAAAAAAAATAGTATTACAATCTTTATTGATTTTTAAGCATTATGATAATATTAGTTAAACTACTTTATGTGCAAATCAGGATTAGAATTACTGTGTAATTTTTATAAATTTGTGCATAATTTCAGTTTGTTAAACTTTTAAATAATGAATAAAGTTATGAAATTGTTTACTCTATCAATATCTTTTCCTACGGTTGATTAGTTTTTAAATTATAAAACAAACATGACACTTCTTAAAACAAATTCATAAGACAAGCTCACATCATTACACAAGTTCAAACCTCATCACAGTCCAAAAGTTGATGACAAGTTTATTTTCAGTGCATTACTTTCTTCAACAAAGAAATAAGTTGTGAGATTTAAAAAGAAAGTGATTGCCAGCTTGTGCAGTTATGTTATTGCATGATGCATGTGGTACTAAACACGCTTGAATAAGATGCCAATGCATCTGAAAGAAGAAATTTGTTTGTCAATTTGTAGGATTCCATTTAGCCAGGGTCATGTTTCAAAACCCTAAGTTGTTACTTCAATATTACTATTGTATTCTTTTAATTCACTGGCTCTACCCAAAACAACTAAGGATCATTGTTTGAAAATGATTCCCATTGCGATACTACTAGTAATAAAAGAGATACGACAATAATTTTGATTTTGTAAACTTTTAATTTGAGAAAACTCAGTTCTATCAGTTAAGGTACAGATCATCTCAGTCTAGCCTTAAATGTGAACATCAAAGGCTTCATTTAAGTCTAGGGGTAAGTAATATCAAATGAAAAACAGTACTGAAAAGAGTACTTGTTATAAATATATTGCACAATAAAATTCAAATAATTATAGGGTCTTCAAGGTAAGTTAAAGATTTACTAAGGATAGAAACAAACAAAGCTGTTAAATATAGTATACTGTACCAAGCTGAGCTTTGATTTACCCAACTGTGAAATAATTTTATCTCTTGTGAATAAAACCATTTAAGCTAATAACAAAAATAACAATATTGCACATCAAAATAAGTTAATTTCATTTTTAAATTTGAGAAGTAAATTTTATATTGCATTTGCATCTTCCAGTTACAAAAATATTATGTTCTTAATGCAAGAATAATGCCACTTTGGGTAAAAATAATATACAAAATATTTTAGATTAATCAGAAAACCATAGCTATCTAATTCTTTATTTTAATTTAAAATTTAATTGTGGAGCAATAAAAAATAGATCTGAGAGAGTTCCCTTCATAAAAAAAAAAGAAAAAAAAAGAACCATATCATTTTGATAAACAAACATAAAAGTCAAAGAAATTACTTTGAATTTATGTAATATTGCTAGTAAATTACATTTCCTTAATTTAACATTTTAGTCCAGATGTCCTGCATCCTTAATTTTCACATAACGAGATGCCACAAAAGCAAAAATAAATGCTACTAAAGTGAGACAAAATGCAAATATGTAGAAAGATTCTTCATCAAAAATATCTTGAAATGCAGGTAAATATGCAGAAAATTTTTGTGAGACTTCCTTCCCAGCATTTCCTTTGGGAAGCATGATTCTTGAACTGTAGTACTACTTGTAAAGTTTGAATTATTTAAATATAACCAGCTTAGAAAAGTGACCCTTGTCTGTTTGCTACTGCAGTCTTGCAATCTGGGAAAATAATTTTAAATGGCCATATATTTTAACATCCTGAAAGAAATTTAAAAAAATAGCTATATAAGTTAATTGAAAAAGCAGTGAAAGAAATTCCAATGTCATATGGGGCAAGAAACTTAGAAAGGTAAGATGATAATAAGGTTTGGAAATTTGGTGGGGCTTGAGGAGGTGGTAATAAGAAAGAGAGGTTTGGGGGTAAGGGTCTGTGCCAATTGACAAAATCAAAACCTTTGCAATATAATGGTGCCTAATAGCAGCTATTTTAATTAATTACTTTACTCACACACTTAATTTATTGAATTTTTAAACTTCTTTCTTTCTCTGTTAACATTATTATTTTTTTTTTTAAATGCTGAGCTTGCGCTAAATGGAAGAATTATTTATAAATGTAACACATGAATGAAATAAATTACTATTAAGTATGACCAGTGTAGGACGATGTGTTGGAAATGGGGGAGAGGGTGGGGGAAAGAGCTGAGCTTGTAAAGAGGGTGGAACAGCCTAAGAGTGATGGTTGGAGGGTAGGGGAGGAGGGTGAGGCTTTGGGAGAAATAAATGAGTGTTGGAGTTGAGAGTAAGGCATGTGGGTAAGGGTTGAAAAGAATGGACGTTAGTAGGTGTATGCCATGGGGAAGGGGTGTAATGAGAGTAGATTGATTTGGATTATATATGTAGAGGCCAAGGGAGAATAGAATGATTGGTTGAGGGGGGGGGGGCTGGCGCNTTAATAAACATTTTTTTTTGGGGGGGGGGGGGGCATCCAGTCCGATGAGGTTTATGACTTTAACGGATGGTGGCCAAAATAGTGTTCAATTGTTGGATGACTCCAGTCAAGGGCTACTCCTCTCGGCGGATTCGCTTATCTCGAGAGATCGGGGTAAAATGGACTCTTATCTGTGGATCCCGGGATGAAATTAATTATATAGGAAATATAATATTTACTTAGGGCGGCTGTGAAAGAGTGGATTGTAAGTTCACGCATTGCCACCACCATTTTTTTGGAGGGATATAACTAGTAACACTAATAATCTCATATATATTATGCTTCTGGTGTGACTCTGGACTGCTTCCTAATGGACAGCTTCCTTATTTGCTTTTGAGAGTATATTTCAAAAGGTTCTAAAATTTGAAAGAAAGTATGGTTTAATAATGAGTTCAGTAGCATGCAAATTATAATTCCTGATAACTACCCTAAATGATTATTTTTTTAAATAACGCAACTGCGTTTGGTGCGTATAATTTTCTTCTCTCAATTTAAATATAGTGTAATAAATATTCAGTTTAAAAGTGGTTGGGACATCAGAATATTTAATTTAGCTCATGGGCATGAAATAAAAAGTGTGCAGTGACATATCACGGAGGGAAGGGGGGGGGGGTGAAGCGGAAGCAAAAATTGGGATTCTTAATTAATTCAATTACTAATTAATTGTCTTAAACTAAAAAATGGTTACTTGAGTTCATAATTTGTCAAGTAACTTTTGTAGATTTCTCAAATTCACACATTGCTGTCGCCAATGTTTGGCGAGCTATATCTAGTTATAAACATATTTTACTAACTAAATTACTAAACTCTAATAATTAGTAATACTAATACGAAAATAGTAATTAAAAGTTGGTCATTAAAATTGGCCTAAAAATACAAAAATAACTTTCACTATTATTACTTCTCAACCAAACGATCCCTAAACATTTCATATTATCATTTAAGTAAATGCATCTTTATTTTTCCATAATCAATTTTTTTTCTTACCTGATACTTCAAAATTCTAAAGTAAAGAATACCAGACGAAATGAATGCAATTAATAGAGTAAATAAATAAATGAAACAATCATTCAAAACACAGTTTCTGGAGAATCGATGATAAACGAGACAAACCTTGATATTTATTTAATGCTGGCTGAACTTCGTTTGTGGCTAATTACTCTAATATTTATCCTATATACTGATAAAAATATTGTTTTAAGATTTTATAATTTTATTAAAATAAAATATTTGTGATATAGGCGAATTTCAAATTTTCATTATTTATAAATATTTTTTTTTGTAATCGATCAGCATGTTTCTCTCCAAGTTACACATTTGAATTATTTAGTTATTGTAAATTTAAGACTCAATTATTTAAGAAAGAAAATCAGGCGAATGCGATCTTCAGGCATTCCCTTTTTAAAAAATATTAGCAGAAAATTCAAATTTCAGTTCTTATAAGATTTACATCTCATACCGAATATCTACAAGACATATTAGATATGTTTTTGAAAGATGTAAGTTATAATAATAATTCAATGTCTGAAAAGTCTTCAAGTACACTTTTATTTCTACTACTACTAGACTTAGACTATACTTGACTTATACACTGTACTAACTGTACTATGACTATAAACTTAGGGAAACTATACTATAATTATAATAAAAAATTAAGTTACAGACTAAGACTAGACTAAGAGTTAGAAGACTAAGACCCAAAGACAGTTCAGTTCTGAACTGAGTTCTCAGATTTCTGATTTCGTTGATGATGATGAGTTATTGATTAGTTTCAGTTGGTTAGCCCTACTACTACTACACACTATAGACTATAGATAATTGATTGGGGCTAAGAATGTACAACTTTATTTGAATTTGTAGTAACAATCTACTGTGACATTTAGTCATTTAGCCTACTGACTACCTAAACTTAAACTAAAAAAATTAATGTATCTGATAATCATATAAAATATAATATTTGATATCTAAAAAACTTTTAAAAAATTGAGCAATGTATGCTTGACACTTGACGTTGCACAAAGGGATGAGTGAGTTCTCCTTTGTTTATTATTAGTGAATTTTTTACTAGAGTTAACTTTTCTTTTTTAACATTAATACGCCAAAGGAATGTTTAAGTAAATATTTCATTAGATGGTTAATCATATTTAAAACGAGGGTAAATTTTGTAGCACACATGTTTTAGTTGAGTGAGGGGAGCAACTGCTGATCATTGAAACTTCTTGCCGCATTTTAAAAGTCTAAAGGAGTCTTACTACTTTCATCATGAAATGGTGGAACTTGCAATGTGTGTAAAAGGGTATTTTATGAAACTGTAATTTTAAGTTGGGTTTTCATTATTTAAAAAAATGTAAGTGTTTAAGTTGAGGGAAGGGAGCAACTACAGGTCATTGATACTTCATGCCGCATATCTAGAGAGATAAAATAAAGTTGCTACATTTGCAATGATATAAATAATTAATGTACCAGCTGAACGTATGCCAGGAAAGTGGGCGACCATTAAATTTAAATGTTTACATATTGTGCCTATCTTCATTTCTTTCTCTAAGTAGTTGAAACAAAACATTCTCTCCTTTTGCCCTCCTCATTTTAGCATACGAGTTCTTGCACTACTCTTTTCTTACACAGCCACCACTATGAAATGTCTGTTGTCATTGCATCAAATTGGTGGCCATGAGGGAAAAAAGTAGTCTGAAAACACGGTAGAATAAGGGGAAATGTCAAGCGTACTAAAATTACTAAAACTTGAATTTATAATATAAATGAAGCATAAATTCCTAAGGCTTAAAGGCTGTAAAAACAGTAAAGCTCACCAAATAAATTTGCTACTTTTATAACTTATTTATAATTTAATTGATTTCTCACTAAATAAAAGTCGAATAGTAATAGTTTTCTTAGGCCTAGCTGCCATCCATGATTGAGTCTGGCTATTTTTGCAGAAATTATCACCAACTTGTGAGAAAAATTAGACACTTTTATCACATATTGTCACTAATTCGTGAACCCTGCAAATTATAGTTACAAGTTAAAAATGTCTCATAAAAAAGTACTAAACTTAATTTTATTGACACTGAATCAGTCTGATTCATGTTTATGCCACAGTAAGTGTTATCTATGACAATATACCTATTGAGGCTGTCGCAAATTTTTAAAATTTGTATCTAGCATTCAACATAAAACTAATGACTAAAATTCTGATCTATCATAAAAAATATCTCTTTCATTGTTAATAAGTTTGTAAATATACTTAAAGTTTGAGACAATTTTATATATAAATAATTTTTATACCATTTTATTGGGGAACATTTTTTTTATAAATCCCAAGTAAATGATTATGAATTTTCTCAATCACTTCTTTAAATAAAAATTTTTAAATAACATTGTCAAAAATTATTTTTATACATTTGCACATTTTATAAAATTTCAGTCCCGTCAAGCACTGCAATATATGCTTCATAATGTTGTATATGCAACTAGATTTTCTCCATGTGGAAAATATATTGCTGCAGCTAACAAATTTGGAGATGTTGCTCTTTTTAGGTAAATATTTAAACAAAATTTTTTTTTTTTTAAAAGAAATTGTGAACTATGTTTAAGTATTTTATCGTCTGGTAAACATATTGGCTTATTGCAATAGATCTTCCAAAAAAAGTTTTTTTTTAGATTTTAGCTTCTTATTTGTATTTGTGTTAAACTCTATTTAAAAAGTAGGCATGCCTATTTGTAATGTGTTGTTTTTCCATGAGTTTAAAAAAAATAAATCGATTTTTCATTATATATGAATCTATAAAAATTATCTTCTAATAATATAGAATTAATTAATTTATTTTTTAATCAATTATTTACAGTTTAACTGCAGCTCTGTCTCCAGATACTTGTGATGAATCAAAATGCCCAATTTTTTCTTTCAATGGTATGTATTTTGCATCAAAGTTTTTAGCATCACTTTGAATTATTTGTCAAATTGTCTGACATCCTCCTATTATATTTTAGTTTAAAATCTGTTAAAAAAAATTGGTATTAATTTTGGATGTTGCAGGCTGTGATTTTATCAAATTAGGTATTACATTAAGTAATCGACTTCATTGTATACTGGATGTTTACATTTTTCAGTTTGTCAACATGGAGGAATCTACAGTCTTACAAGCACAGAAACATTTTTAATTTGGTAAAAGAAAGTTATTCTTGACGTTTAGAGTAATTTTTTTATCATATTATTTTTAGATTATAAAGTATCTAACAGCAAGAAAAATATGACAATTAGAAATTGATTACACATGTCAAACGCTCATTTAAACATTGAGTTTATGTTCATAGATTTTTCAATGAATCTATTTTTAGTGTAATTATTTTTTCCATAAGTCAGCTTTGTAACAGTGTCTATAAAAATACAAATTTTGTAATTTCAGTGCAGGAGAAGGTGATATTCAAGCTTATAAGTGGTCAGATATCATTGCAAAGGTAATTATGACATGAAATATAACTTTTTTGTTTTAATAATTTGTTAACCACAAACAAATTTTTAAAAATTGTAAACAGCATCTTTATGTTTATTGATGTTATTGATTCTAAAAATATTAAATATTTGTATATTTTGGTATTTTGAACATTTCTTTTTTTGAGGGGGAGGGGGGGGGGGAGACTACAGAGATGAATCTGTGAAGAAATACAATATCTTTTCATCTTAAAATATTTTTATATGTAAAAAGAAAAATTAAGTTCAGAGAAAAACTGATTTGATTTTTACATATGATTTTACTTTAATAGAAAATTTTTCAAAATACATTTTAGAATCCTAAAGTAACATGGAGCCTCTCTATACCTAAAAGGCAAGTAGCTTTTCAATACTGATTTATTTATGAAAATGGTGGATAGAGGAATAGGTATTTTCATTACAGCTTACTCTGCCATTAGGATGGGCAGAGCTGGGACGTTACGAAAATTCCAACAGAATGGGATTTAACACTGATAACCTCCATACACAAGAAAGGTTCCAAACTTCAATGCACAAATTACAGAGTAATTTCCCTGAATAAATGTTACATACAAAATACTTACAAAACTAATTGCCAATTGATTACAACTGTACATTGAACAAATACTAGTTGACTACCAATGTGGATTCAGACAAAATAGATCAACAACTGATTATTTTCACAATCAGATGCGTATTAGAGAAATGTTACGAATATAATATTCCAGTGCATCAACTCTATGTGCACTATAAAATGGCCTATGACAGCATCAAAAGATAATATCTATATGAGACTGCAGGAGTTTGGCATTCCCAAAAAACTGATAAGACTGATACATGTAACATTAAACAACTCAAAAAGCAAAATCAAGGTTCAGGGTAGAATATTCAAGGAAATTGCAGATGATTTGTCTTGTACACTATCTAACCTAACATTAGAGAGAGTTATAAGAAACACATATTGAAATCCAAGGCACAATGACAGCATACTTTCTGAGGGAGAACCAAGACCCACAACAAACAGGCACCCTCTACAATAAATCCCTTCAGTATCTTTGCATATGCGGATGACATAGCACTGTTAAGGAAAAGTAGTAAAGACATATCAAAAGCCTTTATTGAATTAGAAGACGCATCACTACAAGCAGGGCTGGAAGTTGACAAACAAAAAACAAAATACATGACTATGATAAGAGAACAACAGACAGATGAAACCATTAAAATTAGAAATATAATAATTAAAATTAGAAACCACACTTTGAAAAAGTATATCGTTTCCAATACCTAGGGATCCTTCATAAGTGAAAGAAATGAATTACTAAAAGAAATAAAAGAAAGAATATGGTCCGGAAACAGGGCACACTTCAGTAGTCAGAAAGTACTCAAGTAAAAACATTACAAGAGAAACAAAGAAAACTATATATAAAACTGTAATCAATCAGTTGTAACATACGCAAGTGAAACTTGGACCCTAACATAAATAGCAGAAAACCCATTAACCACATGGGAGAGAAAAGTTCCTCGGAAAATATATGGACCAACAAAGGATGAATATGGATGAAAGTTGGGAATCCAAGCATGGAAAAGAAAAGCATCA